AATTAGGTGTATCTAAACAAAAATTACAAACAAGGTAGGGTTTGAGAAATCTTGCTGTGGAATAGAATGACACACTAACTTAATTTACCTTTGATTAAAGATCAGTGTAGAAAAGAAACAAATGCCAACTGTGAATAGTAACAATAATAAAAGCTGCAGGGTAACAGGAGAGCTGGCTGCAAGCTGACACTTCCCACTAAGACATACACTGTGTCAAAGCAAAGCTGTTAGGCTGGCGCAAAATGCAGTCACAGAGACTGATGCATTTCAAGGATGAGGAATACTGTCATGTAAATACCCTTTCAATAGGATTTCTTAAACACTGAAAGCAGCAAGGAAAATCTCAGATGAAAATGCCCTCTCAAATTCTTACAGCACAGAATGGAACAAGCCTGAAAACAAACTTAAGTGTTGTGACAGAAAAAAAAACCCAAACCACACATGAAAACATATCTGCATCTCTCAGAAAGTATCTGATGTAAAAAGAGATAAAAGATATGACAGGACATGAAATGAGTGAGGGCTTTGAGTTAGGTACAGCAAAAAGCAAGATATCAATTGCCAAAACCTTGGATAAAAGTGGTCTCTATAAATGCAGTATTTAAAAAATTAAACATAGATAAAGCTCTCTTCTGTTTTTGTATAACATCTTTGGCTCTTGGACAAAAATACAACTGTGCTGTGTAGTCTAAGTCAAAGCCAATATATATCAGTCCTTTGTCTAGCTTTTCCCTTTCATATAAACTTGGAGCCCTTGGAATGGGACTACTTTGGATCACCCAAATAACCTAGAAGCCCTGATAAAAGGCACTAGAGGAAGAACATTTTATGCTTTCAGCACTTGAGTATTTTTATGTAGAAGAGAAAACAAAGAGGTCATCTATTTCATTCCTCATTTATGTATGTGGATATTCCAGACAGTACTGTCTGAAAAGGTTTTGTTATTTTATGTAGAGAAAGGGTGGAAAATGAAGTAAGGAAAATGTAGGTATTGCAAAAAAAATTTGCAAACTTTCCCCTGATAACAATGGAATGTACCTTATTTATTAGATGCTTATTTTACATTTGGATTGTTGGGATATTTCTGCATATTGTCTTTAATTACTAGTGTGTCTTAGGGGAGCTGCAGTTTACTTGGTTTATGACAAAACTCCTTCTCTGGTTTGGACTTTGTGACTGGATTGTGTCTTAATCATCCCTGAGTGATCCGAATTTCTTTACATTGGTAAAAATTGGATAAAATAATTTGGGTAGGCTACAAAAGACCAAGAGAGCATAATTTCCTTAAAACAGAATTTAACTTTTAGAAGACACAATGAGGAGCTTAGTGCCCACTGTGGTACACCAAACAAAATGGCTTGAATCAAATCTTCATCCCAAAGTAAAATATTTATTATGCTACAGTTCAAAAAAGATGTTTAGATGTTTCCAAACACCTTCTTTCTTTTTAATTTAATTTAATATCTTACTTTTCAGGCTATTTTGATGGGTTGAGAAGCTTTTAAAATATTATGATATTAAATTTACAATATCATAATTTCTAGTGGGATAAAAATCACAGTTTTCACCAGCTGCTAATAGCCTCTGGAGACATTCAGGCTGATGAGGTTTGTGATTCCAAACAGCTGTAGATGAAAATATGAGAAACAGTTGACAATAATTAAATAATACAAATGTAAAATCACAAATCTGAGACAAGCACATAATTGTCATGGTATTATTTCATATGATTTTTATGTGATATTAAATACCATTAAACTGTAATACTCTTAGCAAAGACAAAATAGGAACATACTAATCTGCATATTTATATTTCAGGCAGTAAAGGAATTAAATAACACAGTATTAAGTTAGCACGAACAAAGCTCTTAAGATGGTCACTTTTTTAAATGTGAAACTGATTAGCTGAAAATAAGCAAATTTATTGAGTTCACCCAGAAATTTAAGGGGAACAATTCACAGAAATGACACAATTGTAACCCCTCTTTGTGTGTATGAATTACCTCAGAGCAAGATGTGGAATTTTGAAGTGTACCTGTAATTAAACATATTTGCTGAAAAACTCTAAATCTGCAGTTTATTTGCGAAAGCTTTATATACAAGTTCAATATTCAAAATTCAAGCTGCTTGATTAGGTCAGTAGGTGCATGTTTCTATCTCAGAAGCTTGATTCTTTAAATCAAAATTTTGATATGAATAATTAAGACTTTGATTTTTTTGCAAATACTCTTCTCACTAATATGCTCAAAATTCATCAAATATTATTGTTAGTATCTCTATTCACCAGAATAGTTACAGAAAGAAAACAATACCCAGTTCAAATTACTTAAGTGTCTACATACCTTTCCAGTGAAAGGAAACCTGGTTGATAAACAGAATCTGACATCATAAAAGAACAAATTATTTACTTTCTCAGCCTTTGAAGGAAGAATGATATTAATATCCTTGCAATATATGTAAATACCTTAAATGCATATGTGTAACATATGTTGCTACTTTTACATATTTTTTTTCTAACAAAACTCATTGTTTATCTAAATTTAAAATATAAAAATAAAGTGTATTGACTTGTGGAGCTTGACATATTAGATTATCTGCATTATTTTGATCCATAACTTGGAAGATATCTTTTTGCATTTTTCAGCTGCTAAGCTATACACTAATATGGGAAACTGCTTACCCAAGCTTTTTTACAGTGCCTCAGAAAATACTAACAAAACAATTAAACCATTGTCTCAATGGGAATTGCAGTGTATACAGGTAATAAATATATGGAGCTTATTTTTTTAAATCTTCATTGTCTGAGTTGCTTTCCTTTTACTGGCAGGCTTATAGAACTACAAAAGCCATGAAAACTCAATGCTAACTTAAAAGTGTAATGTCTGTTACTTTAATATTTTTATACTGAGTATCAAGGCATTGTTCACAGTAGATAATGAAATGGAGATGGGGCAGGAAACATACCTCTGAAAGACTTTCTACACAAAAGGATGAACACGTAGTTATTTGCACAAAGCATTAGAAAATACCGTGATATTTTATTATTAAAAATGCTGCTGAAAAGTTTATACATATGTGTCCAGCCATATATATCTTGTATCATTACTTAAGGCAAAAAAAACCAAAAAATTGCAAAACAATAACAGAAGAAACCATTGAACCCTGTGTGCCTCTTAAGGACAAGAATATAAGCCTGGGAAAGTACTTTTGTTTTTCTTTTACAGTTTCAAAGTATATTTTGATATCATTATTATAGAATTCTATGAAGACCCTATAAATCTGTTCCCTCTATAAATCATACATCAGTCCAGATGTATCAAATTATTAAATCAACTTGATTGTAATTATTTTTAAAAGCTAAAATCATTCACTTACAGGAACTTTTTTTACCCAAATGTCACAAGCCTGACACAGTACTGTACATATTGCTAGCAGAAGACAATTGGAAGTACTAAACAAATACTGTAATTCACATTACAAACATACCCAACTGATTATGATGCCAGGCATCATTACCTTTTTTTTTTAACTTTTTTTAAGTGTTATAAACTGCTGCATCTCAGCTGAGGCATTACATAGCTGGTGGAAATGGCCTGGTATAGAGTCAGCATTAATATATTATGTGATGGATCAGTGAAAAAAACAAAACAATTTTCCATTTCCTACTAGTTGTACTTTGGGGTTGCTGCTTCATCACATTCCAACCTGAGCTCCCAGGTCAGATTTATAGCACATTTACTGCAGATAAAGGATTATATCAGCAACATGTTGCATTTTTATCATGTCATTAACTTTTTATTTCTTTCCTTCAGAATTTGCTTTACTGCCTGCTACAACAAAGAGTTGTGCAGATGAATAGACCTCAGTGAATCACCTTGGCTTTGCTTTTATTTGTAGGGGTGACTATTTCAAGGTATTTTACTACAAAACAAAAAGTGTAGAAAACAAGAAGAGGTACAAGGCATCTTGTGTTAATCATTATGGGACATGTGATATCGATGCGGTTTAGTTGTGAATTAATAATAATAATTAATTAATAATAGAAAATACATCTGGGATAATCACTTTCAAGTGCAGACCAATTTGTTCAAAGATCTTTGGTTACTATCTCTCAATGATGGAGTAACTTTCAAAGACAAAATATAAAGCAATCTTCATCTGCAAAAACTATTTTCTGGGTTTTCACATTCAAATCAGTTGTGGGAAACAAACTGCAAAGTTACTTTGATAGCTCTGCTTGGCCCCTGTTTTTCTAGAGAAGGAAAGGCAGAAAGGAACAACCAGTTAATAATTTTGCCTTTCCTGATGCTCTCTGGGATTTTCAGTTTTATTCAAATGCAGAACAGCTGAGGATTTCTCTACTTCTCTCTCCATAATGCTCACTGACTGTGGGACTGAGTGCAATGAATCAGCAAATAAGAATTTTCTGAAGGTACACTCTCAAGCGCAAAACAAGATACTGGGCTGGTACGTTCTTCACACACTCATCACTCTGAACAGTTTGAAAAACAGCCAGCCAACCAACCTTGCATTTTGAAACTTTCAACTTGTAGTTTTATTTTGTTTAGCAATGCTGAGGAGCTGCTTTCTCAGCTGAGATTCTACTGCAACTGCTGGTGAATATAGAGCTAGTTTTCCTTGAAGAAGGCTGACCAAAACACAGGCTTTCATTGCTTTTGTCAGGGCACAAAACTCTTCCTAATGCCAATAACCAAGAACTACAAACTGGACTCCAAATATATATTATTGGATGTTTCTTGGTTCAGTTCAACAAGCTTAAAATAGTAATTCTTTTCTTTTGTATTTTTTCTCTTTGTTTTCCAATCCATTGCTGTGTTGGAATTCAACAAAGGCTAACACAAAATTAAATTATAGAAAAAATGTTTCAGAAAAGAACAACAATCTCCTATGAATACTTTAACATGCACTAGTGTAACCTGTAAGAGAAAATACGCAGGTCACACAGACAACTGTATCCTCTGCATGACACCATGGCCTCATATAAATGAAACATGTTAGAAAAAACTCATGGTTTTTGTTAACCACTAGTAATTAAGAAGAAATTCCTCCTTTGGTCTTGGAGGAAACAGAGGTCATATGACTAATGTATATACACATAGGTCACAATCGAATGCACAATCTTTCTAAAAGCTCTTTTCAAACTGAAAACATCAATAAAAGCTGCTTCTTTTTTTGTTTGTTTTTAAACTCACAGCTATGTACATTTTTACAAAGTTTCTTTAAATATAGTTCAGGCTGGCAAGTCATCTCTTTGCACAGAACTATACGTATTTTACTGCATAGTCAGTCCTCCTCTTTTTTTTTTTTCATTTTTGTTTTTAATAATAAAATTCTATTTTCCCCATCTGAATTACAGCTTCGTATGCTGGGTAAAAGCCCATGATGATGTCTTTGTTTTATCAACGGCCATGGTATGGCACATAAAGAATCTTTTTTATAATTTTATTTATTTAAAAAAAACCAAAACAAAACACCTGTACAGTCACTGGCTCTGTGTTCCAGAAGACTCTGCTTTGCTTGTTACACTTACAACACCATTTTAAATTACTTCTTCTGGCCTCAACTTTCAATCAAAGTGGCTGAGATCTTAAAGCAGTATTGTAACAGCAATGTACACATTTCACATTTCACAGGGTTTGTAGTTGATCTTTAACATCAGCGAGTTTCTGTAGGAAGGATCAGTAAGAAAATAATGACTGTCCTTCTCTTTTACTTATTTTTACTTTAGATTTTGACAAGGTGTTCAATGGATGGTATATAACTTTTTCCTCTTCTTTTTTTTTCTTTTTTTTCTTTTTTCTTTCTTCCAAGTGGCTTGTGAGGGTAGATGGGGAAGGGCTGAGCTATACCCTAGTGGTCGAATGTCCATGGGGCAAATTTGTACTGTTTTGTCCTCCACTGAAAGTGTTGAAAGTATGCAAAGGCTGCATTCCTGTTAATGTATTTGGAATCATGGTTATGGTGTTGGGTGTCATTAGCGGGATGTCATCTGGAGACCTTCTCAAAGTGAGCGTGTAGTCAGGCGGACAGGTGAGTCTCAGTGTGTCATGGGCCTGCAGCGATTCACACTCATGGTCATGTTCTAGCTGCTTCATCTGCAAGGACATGATCTCCTCATTTTGTATGTGTGCTATGTCGTTGGTGGTGTTCCTCTGGGGGCTGGGGCGCCTGTGAGTCTCGTGACGCCGTTTGTCCTTCTTGTAATACAACGCAGCAAAAGCTAAAATATTGAGGAACAGCAAGGAGGCCCCCACAGCAATGGTGACACTCAGCTCTGTGGAGTAATCCCTCTTGTTTTCTATCAGAACTGTCGTATCCTCTGGAGCTGTTTTATGGGTGTCTTTTGAGTGTTTGGGATTGTTGGCAGGTGTCATTGCTGGGCGTTTGGTGGCTGGCCATAATTTACCAGGAGAACGTCGGGTCACGTACGGAAATGAGGTCATGTCAGGAGGGGGGACTTTAGTTGTTGTGGAAACATACTGAAATATTTCATTCAGGTTGTGAAGGTGTGGTACAAGCTCCAACCAGAAAGCAACTTTGGTTGCTCGATAGTGATCACGCACTCGGGGTTTCAGGCCAATATGTAAATAAAGCTGGTCTTTCGGATTGTATTTGGACCAGGCCACTTCTTCAAAGCGGTTAGGTTTTGTGTGGATGAACTTTGTGTCTTGTGGAACAGGCTGGTTTGGATCTCTAAAAAAAAAAAAGAAAACAGACAATATTACAGTCATTAACATTTCCACAAAAAAACCTACAACAAAACAAAAGCAAACAAACATGAAACTGTCTCAGTCTTACAGTTAATAGTTTATCCAATATTTACAGTAACCTAAAAGCAGAAGATAAAAACCCTCCCTAACAGAAGAATAGCTGTTAATAAATAATCAAAATAAAATTAATTACTGTACAGAGCATCTCAGATACTACATTATTTTTTTTATATGAAAATGCAGAAATCATAGTGTTTCAGTTACCAAAAGGTCATCTGAAGTTCTGTGATTCAATACCATTCTCCAAGGAGTGTGTCTTAGAGACATATCATCTTTGAGAAGTACCAACTGCCTCTTCCCATAGTAACTGTGTAGGTTCAACCCTTCTTCAGGCTTGACACTAACTTTCTTATTTAAGGTACCACTACTACCACTCCTGTAAGTAGTAAATATGGGCATATAAACCCCATGGCAATATTGGAAGTCCTTCTGAACACACAAAATGTACAACTTGTACAAGGAAAAAAACCTCTTCAAAACCTGAAGTACCAGGGCTAATACATGTACCTGGGAACCATTTCTGCTTGTTTTTTTTTTTTTTTTTTTTTTTTTTTTTTTTTTTTTTTTTTTTTTTTTTTTTTTTTTTTTTTTTTTTTTTTTTTTTTTCTAATTGAGCTATTAGTCCTCCTGCATTTAAATATCTACTTGGGGAAAAAAACCTTTGAACTACCTTTGTGTCACAAATCTTTTCATCATTTCCTCTAACAGGTGACTATTTGAACATTCCATGTGATCATTGCTATGAAGTACTGTGTTTGGTGGCCAAAGGACAATGGGCCTTAACTGAGATGAGAAATATTTTAGCTGAGATCAACCAGTTTTAAAGTACTTCAATAGTAGTAAGACAAGAGTAGTACACAAGTCAGAGATAATTTCAAAATTGGTAAACCAATTTATTTTTTTCTTACAGGTTCAGAATAAGTACAAACAAACACCAAAAAGAGCATTTAGGGATGTTTAATGTATGCATGTCCTTATTATTTTAAATTTAAATAAATAGTATTAAAAATGCAGAAAGTTAAAATTACTTTTACAATACTAAGTTTCATAGTAGGTAGCACATTAATTTGAATCATTTTTTCTACCAATGATAGTTTTCTGTGACTTTGTGATGTATTAGACTGAGAGTATATTGTTCATTTCCTGTGCATTACTCAGAACTTTCCATTCTCCTTGTTATTCATCTATATGCATTGGTTTATTTCCTGTGAAAACAATTCTAATATTTTTCTTTTCTTCCAATATACAGTTATGTATATTCTGGGAATACCAAACCACATCCCTACAGATTTTAAAGTATGTTTCTTCTTTTTCCATTTTCAAAAGCCCATGGAACTAATAGCCTACTTTAGCAGGCTATGTACATAAAGAGCTATTTCTTAGTTCCTAAATGAGACAAGTAATTTGACTTTAATAATACTATGATTCCTGTATTCTTTTCTACCTGAAAGAAGGTATCTTACCTGTTTTTTGAGAAAAGAAGAATTAACTTCTATATATTTTTGGCATTTTGGCTTACTTATGCTTGTGGTTTTAGTGCTTCAGGTTTTTTGGAGTGGTTTAGTGTGTGGATTTTTTTATTTTTTTTTTTATACTGAAATATATATCATCTTTCCCATTTCAATAGGATACAAAAAATACAAACTAGGGGTTCTGAAATGTTACGATTTCTTTTCTTTTCTTTTTCTTTCTTTCTTTCTTTCTTTCTTTCTTTCTTTCTTTCTTTCTTTCTTTCTTTCTTTCTTTCCCTTTGCTTTTCTTTTTCTTTCTTTTTCTTTCTTCCTTTTTCTCCCTCCCCCTCTTCTCTCTTTCAACAGTTAGCCACATGTTAGTGTGTGTTAGTCTGTGTTAGTTCAGAAAAAAAAAAAAAGACAATTTACTGGTAATTGTTCATCCCAGATCAAACTAAAGAAGTAATATTCCCTTCCAAGCAGCACAGAAACAGATGTATGCTGCTGCTTTGAGGTAGTCTAACATGCACTGAAGAAGGAAATAAAGCTATTTATTTTATTAAAGAACTAACGGAAAGATCTGGAAAATCTAAACACAAAAATATTGGCCCAATTCAGTATAACTACTTTGAAAAAACTTTGGGTTTCAAAATATAAATTCTAAAGCAAATTAAAAATCAACAAGGTTATCTAAATGCAAAACACTTTTCTTCTCAGAAACTCAAAATACTGCAAGATTTCTGGCACACAATCTTCCATCATCCCCCTTGCTGTTCTGATTCACATCCCAAAAGACTCTGGGAATGGTCCTAGAGAGAACTGATTCCTTAAGTTAGCTTTTGTAAAAATGTTGCAGTTGGTACATGGTACAGGACATCAAGAAGCTGAGAAATCAATTCCCATTAAAAGCAGCAAGCTGGACATGACCTTTTAAAATTTTTAGTGGTCCTATAAAAATTATTATTATCATCATAGATGATGATTATTTTAGCAAATAACATTTTTATAAAATTAGCATTCTCACTGTCGTCCCATCCAACCCTACAAATTTTGTATCCTGTGATTCCCTTTCTCTACAAAAAGCCTGCAAAACAAGTAAATATCAGCCTCCTTTTTCCTCTCTTCCATCCTCTACTTCCATCTGTCATTTTTAACTATATTTATTGGGAGCAGCCAATTATGCTGCCGCCTCCTCCAAACACAAGAGAAAATAACATTACATGAGCCTGGGCTCATATTTGAATATTGTTTACATGGCTCTGTGTGGGCATGAAGTTGTCAATTGAAACAAGAAACAGAAAAAAATCAACCGTCCCTACAGACAAGTAATTTCTTTGCTGAGGATATCAGAGCTCTACCATTGACATCAACTCTAGGGCTGATCACTTAAAAAATTAATAAAATGGTTTGAATAGTCTCTCTGAATTTGGAAATAGATATCTAAATTATGTTGGGGTTTTTTTACAAGAAACAGGAATAATTAAGTCCAGTCCTAAATAAAGGATCTAATAATGGCCTTGGATCTTGGTTTTACAGACTAATGATTATTTGCCAAAAATATTCAGTAGATATAAACAAGAGAATTTTTATTTCCCTTGGCCATCTTGCTATGCACACTGCAAAAAATTCATGAAGTTACAACTTATGACTTGTTAAGTTTTTTCCTGTGGTAGTTGGGCAGCTTATCCTATGAACCATTTTCCTGTTTTATCGGTAGGCATAAAACATAGATGTACAGACAATCATTTCTCCTATCAAATCATCCATTCAACAAAATTCTTGATCTGTTACTTTCATTTCAAATTTTCCCCTGCCTTTAAGACTCTCACAATTCCTTTGTGTTTCTTGATGCTCTTGAGGCTCAAGTGTGTAATTTCATAACAAAGACTGCCAGGAAACCTTTCTTTAAAAATCCACTGCAATCGTGATGATAACAGTATAATCTGAACAATATATTTCCAGTTCTATACTTCTTACAGTATTGGCTCTCATGGGGAGGAGTTTTCTTGTTTCTCCATTTGTCAGTTGGGAGGGAGGCTTTTTCTTTTCTTCATCCAACTACTATAACAAGATTGATGATTATTGTTATTTATTTTTCTATCTCATTACTTATTTTTATCACCTTTAGAATTCAAACAGCTTATACATCAAAAAATGTCTCCATCATGAAATGCCAGAATTTTTTTTTCCATATGACAGAACACCATATCTTCTCTAAGGTATATTTTTGTTAATGTGCAGAATAATCTCATTTCACCTGTCACCTTTTTCCTCTCACTTTCAGTCTGCACTAATTTTGTACAATTTAAGATGTTTTTGTATATTGTCATTCAATTCACACCTCATGAGCTAGAGACGTAAGATCAAAACATCAATTTTTTCTCAGTTGATATTAAGTAAATATGCCTGCAATGGATGTGGACTGAAGAGCAACACACACTCCTGTTCACAAGGTATATTAGTAGCTGACCTGGAGGGTAGATGAAGGAACTGGGTATTTCATATCTGATTGTATTTTCATGGGAAGAATAGTGAATTAAGAAGTTTCTCATATCCCAAATTCCTTATAAAATGGTGAAACACCATTTGTGTTCTAACTATTTCTGCCACAGCGTTGACTGTCACTCAGGACAGTGGAACTGTTACATTAATGTATTTGAAATGTTTTAAATTTTGTGTTTTTCTCTATCTTCACTGGAGAGCAAAAAGTCTCCACAGTTACATAATCTGTGTCTCCAATTGTATGAAAGGCCCCTAGATACTTTATTTTCTTTCAGTAGTACTCTTTTCTCTGTATGATAAAAAAAATGGAAGAGAGAGAAAAACTGACTTTTCTTTATTCTTCTGTTTCTTTTCACGCTGTCGCAACACTAATAATGCCACAGCCATTCCTGCTTGAAGGACTGGTACACAGGCATGTTTTCCCTTACCTCCTCTCCTCAATTATCACCAGGTCCCACTGTTGCCATGCTCCCTGTCAGCTAAGGACTAACAGCTAAGGACTCCTTATAAGAGCTAAGGAGCACAAACCATAACTACACTATTTTGTTTTGCCATTGGAGACAGTTATTTCTTCAGATGAAAACATCAAAAAGAAATGCAACAGTCTCATAAAAGACTCACCTGAGAATTGATTTGAAACTACACCTTAATAATTGCAAGTTTAATCAGGTCTTCCATTAGAGAACTAAACTGCATACAGAACACAGACATTTTTAATAACTCAGGTCTGTGCTTCAGAATTAATGATACCAAAATAATACTGTAGTATTGACCTAAAATACAAAGAAAACAAGGTTATATCCTCTAGATCTTTATTTTTCCCAATACCAACACAGATAGAGCTGAATGAACAGGAGAAAAAGAAGAATGCTGTAATTCCTCAAAACCAGGGCAAATTTTAGTAACCTAATAGATGTCTCTAATGAGAGTATGGCTTTGTATCTACTGTGTGAAACTTCAAATCCTTTACACGAGCATAGCTGGCAGAGTATCTATGAAGGACTGGCACACAACCCCTCATGCTGTTCACTCTTCCCCTGCTGATGTGTCTGCAGAGGAAGTAACATGGTCCTAACAAACAGAATTTGGCATATAAAGCTGCCATTACAGTTAGGATTGCACTACTGGCAGCAGACTGAAGCTCCAAATGCACCTCTTAATGAAGCTCTCACATATAATTCTGTGCACTGAGGAGTTCAAAACTGTATTTTCATGTCATTTTTGTATCGCAATCTCAGACTTACTCTGTAATAAATTGTTTTCCTATTTCTAAGGCATTTTGGAAACACAGTTTTGAAAAGGCCAAATGAAAAACTCTTAATAATAATCACCACCATAACAAAAAAAAAAAAAAAAGAGTCATAGGTAGAGGATTAGCAAAATTCAGCTTCCAGGCACTCATTTTAAGCACAAACTATTTGCCATTAAACACTTTGTCACCTCCTATTTGCTAGTTTCAGTAACCAACTTCCAAGTTAAATACAATAAAAGCACTGTGCCCTGTGTTGTGTCTTTCACCTACTGATTTTACAAGATTGACCTGCCCTGCAAACCCAGCCTTGGCAGTAAGCCCATTAAACAGTATGTGCTTTCTAGCAATTGATGGCCTGTCATTAAATGCCCAGCAAAGTCCATCTGAAAGATGCACCATCTGAGCCGTAATTTCACAAGTACCTGGATGCAGCCTCTGTGGGAGACTCATGGACATTGGAAAAGTCTCAAACACATTAAAAATAAATAAACATATCTGCAGTTCTAATGTTCAATGCTTACCGACAGGGAAATGCGAGTTAATGAAATCTTTTCGTTAAAAGATTTTTTATGTGTTGCCATGGGTACAAAGAAAAGAACTATCATAATAAGGATGGGAAATTATCAGTTAAAAATAGGGCAGGGAAAAAGCCAAAGCAGAGCCCCCAGCAATGCAGTTTTGAAGTGTTTCACTCATCTTGAGAGTTGAAGGACCTGAGTGGGTACAGAGATTCCAGAGTCCAAGTGAGTGAGCAGAGTGGAGAAGTTACCCCAGAGATCCCATTGCTCTAGGCTTGAGGTGCTGCAACCTTTGGCTTTCTGTTTGAGGAACCAGAGGTGCAGAACAAATGTAATCTTAAAATATTATTTGCCTCCAAGTATTCTGTATGATGCAGAACAATTAATCATTGTTCAACCAAACAAAGAAAAGACCCCATCAAGGTCATATGAATTGTGTTGCTCTTTTCCTTTCCTTTGAAAACTGAAATTTTACGGCTAGAGGCCATTGCTAATGATACATCTTTCAGACTGCCTGTAAGGGAGTGAGTCTGTAATAGAATATATACCCCATTCCTGTCTCATCAGCAATTGGAAAGTTTCAGAAATTACTAATGGCTCTCTCAAAGCACCTGTTTTTGCCTTTAGGTATAGTATGACAATGGCTTTATAACCAGAGAACTGGGTATAGCCTGCTGAAATTAGTTTTCAAGCAGCTACAGCTGGAAAGTGCTTGAAATGATGAGTAATGGTGGCAGTTGAAATTGTGAGAAGCTTCTGTCAGCCTCAAAAACTGCTTAAATGCAACATTTTAATATACAGAGAATAGTAATAAAGTAATTGTAAACAATAGTGAGACCATGGAGATCTTTCATCACCATAATAATTCCAATGAGGCATATTTGTAAGGATCTGGAGTCCTCTATGTATACATAGCATTTCATCTACCAAAATAAAGACAAACTTACGGTATCATCATCTCTGAGCATGTGGTACAGCCATCATGCAGCATTGTCTGTCCCTAAACCAAAAGCTCATCACAAAGTTTGCCCATCCCAGTACTGGTAACTTCTTGTTGCAAAATACATCTAAATAGTATACAGTTCATTCATTTTTGTTGCTCAACTCCAGGATTTCTGCATGCTTTTGTACCTGTTTGTCTGATATGCAGTACAACAAAGAATTTTTTTTCTTGTGCATTGACCTGAAGGATTTGATTGGTTTTTACTCAATTTATGCTTGAAGTTCTTGCAAAGACTGCAAAATCTCTCTCTCAACCACCATTTAGATTCATGGAAGGCTACAAGGGCAGCTAAAGCCTCTGAGAGTTTCACAATAGGCATCTGAGTTTTTCTTGTATAGCTGCACACTGTTCACTGCAGTGCAGTAAAGCTGCAGTTTCCAGAGCCCAATCCTGCCATTAAACATTCAGTGGAAAGATTTACAGCCCCTTTGTGCCACAAGTATCTTTGTTTTAATTCAGTACTGAAGACTCAAGGTTAACAAAAAAAGCCCTTGCCACTGAAGAAAAACACTGCAATACTGTTTAAATGAATGTTATAGGAAGAAAACAGAATTTATTAATATTGCTCACAGATTAAGCTGCTTTGAGGGTTGTTTCCTTGGTGTTTACAACTCTATTTCATCAAAATATTGATGTCTTTATTTTGTTTTGTAAGCAGAATTAATTTAATTTTTTAACTTTCTCAAAGCAAAATTTATATCTGAGTCTCTTCTTCATTCCAGTCAAGTACTTATTATTGCCATTATAGCCCTCAAAGGGAAAAAAATTTCCAGTGCCTGCCTTTCTGTTCTAATTCCTCCCTGAGTCCTCATCCCTGTGAAGGTCACTGAAAAACAAGAACTTCCTTTCTTTTGTAGCTGATAAGTGCTATCTGCCTGGAAGTTCCTTCTTCAAGTAGCAGACATGTTGCCTCTGATTTTTCAGTATCTTAGTGAACCACCTTTTCTCTGAGACATGCTTTTTGTCTTAGTAATTGTCCTATTTATTGAACCAAAAATACAGTGTGTTATTATTCTCATTGAGCTACTGAAAGAAAATAGTTGGAGGGAACACATTAATTAAAAATCTATTAAATATGAACAAGCCTCATTTACTTCCTATCTTAACACAAATATTTCTATACTACTACTTCAAAGTCAGATTTTGAAGCCACTGGAATGGGATACTGACTATTTTAGAAGCATGCTATCAATAAAATGAATGCTAGGGGTCACACTTACCCAGTTTTGGCAAAGTTAGTCCAGTATGTCATAACCACTGCACTGAGCATGACATCATTCTTGGAAAAGTTGCAGTTGAACAGTTCTGTGGGACCAATCATAGGAATCCCAAACACATAAGGGACTTCATCACCATGAGCTGAATCAGCCCAGCTGGGTTTCATTTCACTTTGGCAATGGTGATAAAATGCATAGAAATATGTTGGAGATCCATACTGGGCATGCAGGTCAGCCGTCGCAACAGCTGGAGCAACCCACTGGTGGTCTGTAAAAAGAGCAACCAGGGTCTTCCGTCTTGTTTCAGGATTTTCTTTATCTGCCCAGTCAGTGTACATGAATTTAATAGTCTCTCGCAGTGTGTCCTTCCCTTCTGGATAACCATATAGATTGTCCACAAAATTGGAGACAGAAAAGTCAAAATCATTGGGAGAAACACCGTCTTCATTGTCTACAATGCCATCCACAAATTTCAAACCTTCCCCTTGATTCACACCCAGCATTATATCATAGTTAAGGAATTCCCCTTGCTCCATTAGAATCTGAGGGTCATCTGGAATCACATCTCCATCTATCACAGGCCCAAAGGCAATGTGGTACGTGGCTGGAGTGATAGTCTGTTGAATGAGTTCTTTGTAATTCTTATTCCGCAGACATTCAACCAAATCAGTGGTATCCAGCATGTCGCAGCCCACTTTATCTGCCAATATCCGAGTGTACTTGGCAGGCTGATAGTTCACTGCCCAGCTGGACAGGGCTGTTCCACTCTGTATGATTGCCTTTTGGAACAAACCTGCAGGTGCAAATTGTTTAAATACAGATCCAATTAGATATTAAAATATATATATATATATATATATATCTTTTAAAAAAGGAAAAGTATTTCTTACTTTAGAAACAAAGCTTTGATTATAGAATCCCTAAAGGATTCACACAATGAAATTTGGAATCAATTTCCATAGATCCTACTCACTGTTCCCTTTCTATGCTATGTAGAATGGGCTACTAATTAAAGTCTCTCATGTTCTTGATGCTCACACACAAAAAGCATGAAGGTTTCAGGTTACTGTTTCAAGAACAAAGCTCATTCCTGTACTGCAGTTTTCTTGTGTCTTTGATGGAAGTCCTCTGGCTTTACCACATTGGTAGTCCTCTGAAAATTTCTTTGAGGGACTGGCAGCTAAAGGCAGTCATATGCTCTTTGCCATGTAAATGACACTCACAAATACGCCTTTCAGTAGTTTAAAGGTCAAATGAAAATTAGACATTCTCGTTTCCTTCACAAAAGCCATGCATCATACTAACTTGAAAAAATTTGCTCTATTAAAGCAATTTCATATGTTTGAATCTTCTATTCTGATATTTTTTATTTATCATTTAATTTTTAAATTATTATTGCGTGTATAAGTTAGCACTTCCTATATGTTGAAGTGTGTGTGTGAATGTGTGTCCAATCCTGCTTATATGTTGAATTAAAATGTATTTAAATGGTTTTGCAAGAGAGTAAGATGATATTCAATGGCACTTTCTGGTTTTATTTACACTAATATAAAGAAAAATGGAAACCCAATTTGAAACCCAAAGAGCTCCTTTGCTTAAAGCACTAAAAGGCAAGGGGAGCTTACTGGTGAATCTGGTCCATCTGTGGGTTTTTTTCTAGCAAGACCACTAAAATGGCCTATTTTATATTTAAACTGAAATACTTGGGTGTCTTCTGCACATGATTTCTACCATCATGTTCTCAAAATGCAAAAGACAGTAAAAGCTAGAAAAGCATGTGGGGTTGTTGTTTATGTACCTTTGAGGATGATAACTGAATGCACAGACTAAAAAAAATTCAATTATTTAATCAGTTAAGTTTTTCATGCTTCCATCTGCTTGATTTTGGCATGGCTTGCTCAACAGTTATTCACTTTTGTTTATGTACCTTTGAGGATTATAACTGAATGCACAGACTAAAAAAAAAATTCAATTATTTCATCAGTTAAGTTTTTCATGCTTCCATCTGCTTGATTTTGGCATGGCTTGCTCAACAGTTATTCACTGAAATTTTATTTGTATTAATAGACTGAATTGTCAAGCATAATTATACATTTCAAAATTAGGTGTGTTTTCCAGCCTCCCTGCTATAACTTCTGGCTATAGCTTATCTGTTACAAATTTCTGTCTGTTTTATTTCTGTGATAGAAATGGCATGGATTAATAAATACAATAGATATCTTGGCGTTGTCTTTTATCAAGTCTTTGTATATTTGGTCTTATGACCAGGCATATTTATAGTTCAGTACTGATGCTGTACATTTTTGGAGTTTGGGTTTGGGTTTTTTTGCAGGGTGAGGTGCTGAGGGTAGAAATCCTGCAGCTCACTTACCAAAATCTAAAGAACATTGTGTGGGATCACACAGTACTTGTGGGGAGTTAAACACAGTTTTTTAATAAGGCTTAGTTATGTTTTTACTAAGTAAGGAAAATATCTACATATATGTTGGAAGTGCAGCCAAGAGTGTACGAAAAATCAAAAAGGTCATTGCTCTTTTCCATTTTAATTAGGGCAAATTCTTTGATAGAAGAGCCAGTGGAATCTGTTGAAAAAGCTAGAAAAAGTGTATTGCTCATGGCATTTGTTGCATGAGATTTATGCTGTAATTTAGTATTTAGTTTTCCTTATAAACATATTTATGTTGACTAATACAAATCCAGAATTCTATTTAGTAGATATTTTACAAAAATTACAGACCTCATGTAATTCTAATTCAGCCTACCTCATTTTGTGCTTTCATTACATTTTAACATAAAAAACAAAAACAAAACAAAACGAAAAAAAAAAAAAAAACCAAAAAGAAAAAAAATACTTTGCCTGGAGGATTGTTACCTTCTGAATAGTGGGAGAGTGTCAGGAGACTGACACAGGAAGCTCCTGCCCCAGATCCAAAAATAGTAACTCTCTTCGGGTCTCCTCCAAAAGATCCAATATTTTCTTCAATCCAACGTAAAGCTTGGATTTGGTCAAGCAATCCATAATTGCCTTTTGCAGCTTGGTCCCCAGTACTTAAAAAACCTATAAGGCAAAACCCCATAATTTTAGTTCACCAGATACAGAGTTAGCTACAGGGTATCTACATATTCACAACACATCTTCCCATCTTTTCATCTTCTGTGCTTTTTCTTTTTTTTCTTCTTTTTAAAGGTCACAGTCCTAGTTAAATGTCTCCTGAGCAAGCAGAGAAATCTCATTCTGTGTGCTGTTTAGCTTGAGTTTGTTTTTCCCTACTTCAGAGATCCCATTTATGAAGAATCGCTGTTTCTTTATTTAAATATTTCTGTAACAATGCAACAGTAGAGAAAGACAATTTTAAACATTTTATAACTGGATGTGAGTTGGGTACAAAATCTTAGGAAATAATTTTTGGGCAAAGATGTGAGATAGCCAGTCTATGACTGAGAACAACTCTCTCTAACACATTAATATAAATACTTCTCACCAAAATTGTCCTGAGCTACATAGCTCTTTAATTTTCTGTACTTGTGATATGGATCAATGTACTCCAAAACAGAAAAAAACAAGCCTGAAGTAAATAGAAAAAGGAAAACAAAAAAGCCTAGGAAAAAAAAAAATTACACTTCAATTTCAAAGAGGATATTTATTAGGAAGATATCAGGTTAATCCATGGCAATATTGCCTTTGGTGGGGAGATTTTATCTGAACAAATCAGGTCTTGTCTTTCTCTTTGGAAATTGCAAGAAAACCTGTGCTGCTGTTTTTTGTTCCTATACTGTGGTTATCAGATTCTAGAAAAAAAGCATGACATGTTTGCTGCTTGTCTTGCAACTGAGAAAAAAATGACCATAAGATTAGGACTGAGATTAATTTTGGTTTTTTGAAACCAGCTAAGGTGAAACATTGAAGTTACCCCTGCTGTGTTATCATTCACAGTTAAGTCCTTGTGCTATGTCCAAATTACCACATTGAGCCATGTACTCACAGTCCTCCCTTAACTTCACAGACCTTTTCCTGTTAGACAACTGCAAAGTCAGAGGTCTATTAGAAATACCTTACAGCATATGGAAGTTTTCAGATAGACATTACTGATTTAGGCACCAGTGACGGCTGTCGAAGACAAAACATGGACATCGCTTGGCAGGTTTTTTCCAGCTAATTATCAGTTGAGAAAAATTTGCTAGAATGGGGGCTGAGGACACAGGAGATCTACGGTGTGGTGCAGTTGGAAATGAAAGAGTGTGTTATCATAAACCATGTGAGCCTGCTGTAACAACACCTCCATGCTCCTGGCTGGAAGGTGAGTCTTAGGTCCCTAGGGGAAAAAACACTTTGCAGTACATTTCCCAGGCTTTGGTAAAAGGGAACAGATCTCTGCACTGGCTGTAATAATTTTTTTGTCTGTAGGAAAAATTAAAATACACATTATGGAAGGTATTTACATAATGGAGGAAGCAGAATACAAATCATATCCATATTGCTAAATAACATGATAAAGCTTTTTCATTGAAAAAGTCTCTACTAATGGAAAGCACAGTCATAAGAATGGCAGCAACCTTTTTTTTTTCTCTTCTGTGCAAATGGAGAAAAAATAAACACTCTTAATCCACAATTGTCTCTATTTTTTTAAAAGATGTATTTTTCTCTTTTTTCACATGCCTTTATAATCTTTATAAGTCTCTCAAAGAAAGAATAACCCACTTGCTGGCTTTGTTGCTGTAGCTCACTGGAATATTCTATAATACTTTATAATTAAGGCTTTATTCAATCAGAACTATGACATTCATTGGATAAAGCGAGTGTTGTAACCTTTAAAGCAAGATGTTAATTAATATTCAGAGCCTAAACCTGTTTTAGTTCTACTAGCAGCATCAAAATAAAGCTGTTTGAACTTCTTAATTTTGAATGCTTACCAAATGTTCTAAAAGGTGAACTTGATAAAACTGCAGTCAATGAATATCTAATGTTCAAAAGACGAAGATTTTTTTTTTTGTTTCCACAGTTGTCTGCTGATTCTCATTAATTGCAAGAACAAGTTTTCTTAATTTAAAAACTAATCACCATGGTAAAGAGTCAGCCCCACATTACACAAACTGAATTCATAAATCTGTCTTTTCTTGCCAAGGATATATTTTCTTTCATGCTCTGAGTACCAGATCAAAATATTTTTTCAGAGCTATTTGAAGAAATTCAGGCAAATAGTAACTATTTGTCCAGAAATACACAACACTAAGAGTTTTTTGGTTTTTTTCTATATTATTTCAGCAAAGAGAAAAAAAAATGTCTCTTTAAACTGAAGTTCCTGAAATAACTGTTATTTTTCTCTGACTCTATGAAGGAAAGCATTCAAGAAATACTCTTTCATTTTAAACTACTAGATAGAAATAGTCAAGGAGAAAAAGATTGCAAATGGAAATTGCTGGGAATTTTCCTTTTCTATACCCTTTAAAATGCATGTACTCAAAAGCTACATGCTGTCACTTGCACTGTTTTGATAACACAGTGAATACACAAAGCTACACACAAGGCTCCCTTACATCCCACATAGACAAAAAGAAATCCCTAGCTCTATCTTTAGGGTTGGTTTTCCCATATGCTACAGAAATCTTACCGAGATACTAAGCCCCCCACATACTAGTGCTGATATTTCCCCATTACTACTAAACATTATGCAGAGACCCACTGGAACGCTGCATAGAGTAGTAGAAGAGAAAAATATAGTAGAAGAGAAAAATATCCATAAATCCACCCCAAAGGGTTTAATTTTCTTCAGCTCTAGCCTTGTCTAGTGGTTTGAGGCCACCCCCACACATCTCTAGTATGGCTGGCAGACCTTCAAGAGTCAGTCTAAAGAGAATGGGAAGACCGCCCCTCCACTGTACACATTTCATGTACTTTAGTTTACCATGATCAAGCTCAAGTAAGAAACTCTCTGCAATGTGAAACAATATGCAAGGAGTGGTGACAGTACTGAGGTTTTCTGTGGAAATATACTCTTGATCTGAATTAAATAATGAAAGATTAAACTTGATTCTATAATGAATTTTACTAGGTACTACAATCAATTATAAAAGTATATCTTGGAATGAAACATACTTTTCTTTGTAAATTAAGTAAATTAAACTTTTCCTTCAACTTCTACCCTTCACAGGTTTTCTTAAAAACAAAATGTTGAAGTTCTGAGACACAGCCTTCAGACAAAAAATAAAGCCAAACTTAGTAAGAAACATTAAACAGCCAAGATGTCACAACGAGAAATTAATCACCAGGAAATCTGTAGAAAATCAACAAGTTAGTGCATTTTGATCTATTTAAGTCCTTTTCTTAAGCCTCTGCTTCATTTTCAGAGTTCACATTTCTTTTGTCTTTATGCCTTTTCATGACTGCTGTCCAATAGCCTTCTGCAGTTTGTTTGTCAGGCAACATAAAAAGATTGATTTGTACAGCAACTGATCAGAACTATGACATAAACAATATAAATAAGATACTGGAGACTGTGCTTTTGAGAACAATCATGTCTTTTTTGTTTACATTTGTGAAATACCAGAGTAGGGCCTTTTCAAAGCAAATGGCAAGCATACAGCTGAGCCTTCTTATTTTCTAATAGATTTTGTCTGTACCTATCATATTTACTACTGTAAAAGTGGACCAGTTCAAATGCCAAGTAAAATTCACTGGGGATTATTGAGAACATAGAGACTACAGCTGGTTCAGGAAGACCCTGAAATATAAATAGTTGGAGAATAGAGAAGCATTAGAGGGAATTATCATATAAGTTTGTCCTATGCTTGCCCTTCCCTAACCATTCCCAAACATCCCCTCCCCAATAGTGTTAGGAGCCAGGATGTTTGGCTGGATGATATCTTGGTTGGAATCAATATAACTATATATTTTTTGGGTTTTTTTGACTCTATGTCTATTAACAGTACAATGTAAACATTACTGAAAAGCTGATGGAACGCAAGATAGAGTGATGGTGTCCTTGCCACAGGTTTAGCAGAAAAAATCCCCAAAGTCCTGCAGCATGACTGGCCTATGCAAAGCTGAGTAAGCATCATAGCTGCACCTGAAATTTCTACCTAGAGAGTAAAACAAATGAGAGGACTGTTGACTGGCTATGTATGGGTCTGTGCAGAAATAATGTTACACAGAGACTTCTTCGTCCTGAAAACAAAACCACAATGCCTGTCCTCCAGCTGCAGATTAGTTTGAAATTTGCAGGTGCCCTGTCAAAGCAAACATTTTAATATTCAGAAACTTGAGAAGTAGGATAGTGTGTGATTCTGAAGCAGTGATCACAAAAGCGAATTTCTGCATGCTATGGCTCTTTACCATATCCAGCTGCAAATAACACTCATTTAAATTTTAACTCAGATTATGGTAAATGAAGAAAAACAAGCACTGAAGATAACTCAGCTTACAGTTTTTATATAAGTGTATAGATTATGTTAAAATATAAAGGCCAGTGATGCTTTTAATTCAATTTTCTAGCTTGGGCTTAAGAAAACAGTCTCTTCTGATTCTGCCTTGATGGATTCTTTTCAATTAATTCTATTGGGAATATAAACATAAATCTGTTTGTTTAGAAAGAAATTCTTATTACTACATGCAGTACAAAATAATAGGTCAGAGATGGTGAGGTAAGAGTACTATTTGTTTCTGTATTGATTTAGTACTGAAACCTGAAATCAATTTTTTTTTTACAATTCAGGAAAACATCTAATCTGAAATATATAAAAGTCTTTTGAAAATGTTCTGGATAATAAATGTGCATAAGAACATTTAGCAGGAAAAGAATGAGAAAAGATAACAGGACACATTCTAACAAGATTTAAAACCTAGTTTTATGCATATTTCTAAACAGTAAAAAGCTTCTTAACATAAATTTATCAGAACACCACAGAGATCAACAGTTTCCTTCAGTCAAGCCATTATGATATTCTAAAATTAAATGTTTTAAGGAATCTAATTGAAATTAGTACACTAAACTTAAACTGCTCTTAAATTTGCCTTGTTCATTGCAAATGCTCTGAAGCTATTGTGCAATAAAGTTAGGCCAA